AAATCCAATTCTCAATAATGCCAGTAGAATTTGGAAGTTTTCGCCAGTGTTTGCTCTGGTTGGGTTTGCGCCAAAAATTTTACGAATTTAGAACTAGCATTCGATTCCTAAGGATTTCAATGTTTTGCAAAATTACATATGGGACAGAAATGGTGTAGAAAAAAGTCTTTCCTAAGAATCTGTCAAATTCTCAGCTCTTTAAATACTACCGTGGTAGAGCGAATTCCGTCAGTTGTCGAAAAACTAGCATCTGGCATTATGTGTTAATTGTGTAACATTCTCCGAGGAGACCTGTTTTTCGTTAGTTTTCCAATTCATTGAGCTCGTTTTTCTGAAAGTCTAGTTCCGCTGGGTGAAAAACAATTCCGTTATTAGGGCTTCGTGAAACACGTATATTTCACTTAGCAAGAAATTGATGCAAGGCTTTCAGTTTCTGATTTATTTTAATTGCTCCCAAGTCCTATGCAGAGACTGCATGCTTTTCCTAAGAAATGATGCACTTGCGAGCCGGAGAATTGTTGGAGCTTCGATTTGCGGTAATCGAGATCGACGAATTCCTACCCCAAGGGAGAATTTCGTGGCATGGAAAAGTCTAAAAGTCGTGATTTATGCGCCATGAAAAGCCTTTTTTCAACTAACTGTCTAGCGCTTCTAACGACTCATAAAGTCCACGTGTGTTTGAGCGTCGTTGTGGAGAACGCGAAAACTCAAACTGTATTGGTCATTTTTTTCACATCGCAAATACTACTCTACAAAGTTGGTATAGGTCTTCGTTGTTGTTGTTGTTGCTGTTGTTCTTGTTGGTCGATGGCTGTCCTACTCGCAACATCACTGCTCTAAGGAAGTCGAAATCGAAAAATCAAAAAACCAATCGAAATCACAATCGCCGAAACGTCAGTCATCGACCAACAAGAACAACACCACAACAACAACAACGACAATGAATACCTATACCAACCTCGCATCAGCTAAGAAGACCAATTTATAAGATCATACAATTAAATATATCAACTATGTTTAACGTTTTTGTTTTCTGCCTTCTATAATTTTCATGGCAGGTTACTAAGCGAAATACAACCACAACGTTGCTGAGATATTTGCAAAACTCTGGACCGCAGGTGTCTATGGTGGGGAACGGCCAACTACAGCCATAGCTTAACTGGGTTCTATGCCGATTTGCGCTCCCCAGATCAACCCCGCTGACGGGTGATTGCTGTGGCAAAAAGATCGATAGAAATAGCTGAGAGACGTGCGAAACAAAGGACCCGGATGGTGTGGTGGTGAACGCGTTACTCCCCGGAAAGGATAATAGTGCGTTCGTTCCCCACCATAGACACCTGCGGTCCAGAGTTTTGCAAATATCTCAGCAACGTTGTAGTTATATCAACTATCTATGCCGAGGTTTATAGAAAGTCGATCTTTTGAGTTATTCTAAGAAGGTTGCCTACAGTTTCACCTCGTGGTGATTGCTGTACAACAGCTCTCAGTAGAGTCCACCTTAACCTTACGGCTGTACGGAATCCGTATGACTTGATAAAACGGCGCAGTGCTAAAATACCTAGATATCACTTCCATTGCTTTGCGCTTCAGGAACTGGTTTGTGGGCGCAGCAAAAGCGAGTGATGCAATGGCTCATTGGCTGACACTCGATCGGCTCAGTTTAGCTCTGTCAACCAATAGTCCATCGACAATTTGTATGGTGGTTAAGCGATCGCAAGTGCTCCTCCACAATGGAGTGGTCACAGCTGATTGTGGCGCCAACTAGTGCTCAGTCGCATCGGGATTCCCGCCCAGCTAAAGAAAAAAAGCGGGAGGAGCGGGAATAAATGGTGGACTTGTGCACGATGACTTCATTACATGCGTGGCCAATGTTTGCGATGAAATCTAAGGTTCAGTTGCAGGCGCTTGTTTTACTAACAACGAGAGTTTGCATAGTCCACTGTGAATCGATTTCCACCCCTACGGTTGAAACAGCCTTGCTTTTATCTTCGACCGACGCACTTCAGCTTGTGGTATGACACTTCATTAATTTATGTGAAATCCATTAAGATTAGCAGATGTTTTGCCGGTTAGACATATGCTGTTCAAATCTACTACGTGAGATCTTATGATGAATTTTCGGTTTTGTGAACCCTAAGTCGAAACTCGCATGTCGAGTAAAGGTACTGAAGGCGCTTATCAGAACAAGATGACGACGCCAAATGCATCGTCGGTGGTTGCGGATGTCGGATTTGCTCTAGGGTTTTTAAGAATTTAAATTTCGTCTTCAATTTCCCAGGAGTTTCAAAGATTTCTTGGGAGTCTTGAATTTTTCTTCCAAATTTTTGACAACTTTAAAAATAACTAGTGCTTCTGAAAACTCATAATTACTATTGGAATGACGACAGAAAGTCTGCTCTTTAACTCTGTTATGTTCTCAACTCCTTAGGTGCTCTACTTATCGAAAAATCATCGAACTCTACGTGTTATTATTCCGGGTTAATGTGAATCGTTTCCTAGCTGCTTTCCTTTACAAACATAGCCCTTAAAATAACCTTAGAGGAAACCTGAAATGTATGACCATGCTTCCAAATATACTTATGAGACTAAAAAGAGGATCGAGTTAGCAAAAAGAGAGATTATTCCTGAGTATTCCATTAATCTTTTATGAACTGAGTAGTTGCAGTTTTCGCCAGTGCTTACTGTGTTCAATTAGAACTAGAGTAGAATGCAGTAGGATGTATACATAAATCCCTGCCATATTTTTATAGCAGATTGTCATCGCTTTAAAATATCCTGATGTGGAAAGTACAGCAAATGTGCTGCCTCATGTCTGCCCAGCAGTACAAGCATCCTTCCTGGAAATGCGGCTGCTTCGTCGTTCGAGGTGTGCCGTTCCACTGGAATGTATATAATTGCCTTTGGCTCTAAAATGAGGTTGTTTCCATTTTTCTGATGGTATACGTTGGCTGGCTCTTCTTGCAGTGTTGCTCTTTCGTTTATTTCAACGACACTGCATGTAGTTTCGTCCATTGAAGTATTTCACTAACCGACTTTCTTGGCGAAATATTCTAAATCTATTCAGTTTTTCGATTCCGAGCATCACTTACTTATATCTGAGTCTCCGGTTCTTCAAATATGTTAGTTAAGCTATATTAACTACTAGCAAATATAAAATTAATGGGGAACGTGAAAAACGTTGTGCAGCTGTGTGACCCTACCAACTATGGACATTTCCTGGATGTTTTATGTGTTACGAAGATTGCCACTGTAAACAACGAGCTAGGGCCAACCGTTCCTCGAGAGGGAGCCGGAAAAAAACCGAGAACAACTCCGTTTCTCTGGCTGAGAGAAAGGCGAAACGAAGAACTCGCATGGTGTGGTGGTGATCGCGTTAGCCTCCGGAAAGGGTAATACCGTGTTCGATCCCCACCGCAGACACCAGCGGTCCGAAGTTCTGCAAATATCTCAGCAACTCCGTTTCTTTTTCAGCACAGAGAGCTACTGTAGCATATTCGCATCCACTACTAATCATCGACCAGTTTAAGTAATGCTTGTATTCGTCTATTCGTCGCTCTCACACGTTACAACTGCCGACCATGGCTGCATAGTTTGCAAGTTCAATTCTCGACAGATTGGGAAGGTTCACTTCGTGACTTCACTATTCCAATTGTAAACTTTTTTTGTGTTTTCATGGGCTTCAATAGTAATCCTTTCATTATGCTACTTGTCCTCATTTGTTTTTTTATACTAACCAATGCTCTTCCTTCCTCTATCTTCATCCTCTCTGTCAGCTGGGTCAAGTTATTAGAATCTTCATAATGAAGATCAGCTAAATGTAGAAGTATAACCTCTCCTCACCCATTTCTAGCCCTGCTGAGCCCAGAAAGAATTCCACAACAATCCTATTCCAAAAAATTCTAAAAGTGAAGAGTGTGGCTCAAAGAATGTGTTGCGTACGGTATTTTGAATGAGTGAAAGCAAAAAGTGAGTAGCCCCTACTCCTATATTCGGTGGATACTAATGGAAATTTTACTGGTGCTCGTTCGAGTTAGTCACTGGTTAGCCGATTGGCTGCTCTAACGACGTGATCATCTAATTGCTTAGTGAAATGGTTTTGCTCGCAGCTGTTTAACTTCATAAACCACTTGTTTTTCTGTTTGTATGAAAGCAACGACACTTTGAGAAAGGTTAAGAGTAAATGATCAAAATCTGTTTTCCCACTACTACCAGTCTCGATTTATTTGCTAAATTGGGCTCTTGAGATATCCCGAGATGCATCTCATGTTAGCATAGAATGCTCGTAAAGCGCAAGTCACACAACTGGCCGATTCTTTTATTACAATCCTTTCTGTTCACTTTATTAATATTTTTTAAACCAAACACTTCGTTTTTGGTATTCTTTTCGTCCGATTTCCTCTTTCATATTATTTCGCGCTATCGTTTTTTTTTGTGGCATTTGAATTATTCGCTATTCAAAAGTTCTTTTCTATTGTTTCAGAGCACAAAGCGCGGGCTATTGCAGCTTCATTTCGATTAGCTGTTCACTATTGCTGGGCTACATTGAGCTCTAAAGAAGTCTCCGTTATTTCTATCATAATGTGACTGCTTTCAAGAGAATCACGCTTTTTTTATCTGGTCCTTCACTCTTTCAGTTTTCTTAAGCGAGTGCGCATTGATTCTGAGCTTCTACATTTAGACTCCACCAAATGGGAGCGCTGGTGATAAGGTTGCTCGTCCAGATTTTCAGGATTCTTTACTGCGCACTAATATTGTTAGAGTCCTCCTCTAAGCATTTGCTACTTCGAAGAGAAGGCTCGTTTCTCAAAATTTATTTAGAATTTTTCTAGCTATTTTTTATTATTTAACCCATATCTTGAAGAAGAAAAGACGTCTTTTTATTGCTACTCGAACTGTTTGTACGTCTTTTGATCTGTCGTGATATTTTTGTTCACGTGGAATGAAATAGATTTGAAATGTGCTTGTAAATAAAGATGGTGATTTCGTGCACTTCGCTAAGGATGTCTCCGGAGCTTTTGGCTCAGTCTGACGATTCGGACGATGATGGTTGCGAGCAAAGGCCGGCACGAAGGCGATACTTTCAAAAGTGCGTCCAGGTTCTCTTGCTTTTTGTAGAACTTATTGTGCGGGCCACATCATGATTGACTTTATTCAATAGCGTTATATAACTTACATTCTACCGCCATTCTGTCATACTTTCTATCTCCAGTAATATTCATCTTATTGCCGACAGGTGGTGAAGGGACGGAAACCCACTTAATGAAACATATGGATGTGATTTATGTGAGCAGTTATCGTGACGCAACTTTTCAGGACAACACAGCGCTTTTCTCTTGACATCCGCTTCTGGTATTGGCTTTTCTTGTGTATGCTCTCGCTCTCGGTCATCTATATCGCCATGAACGTCTACATTCTCACAAAACGATGCACTGAGCTCTCCAACGGCGTTTCCAGTGAGCCTCTTAAATTTTAGGTGCATCAACTAAACGTTGCTCACAGTTAACGTGTGTTTTACCTATAGGTCCTTATCTTTTTATCATTTTCTAGCCACTGGAAGCACAATTGATCGACATGCTTTTTTAAACATGTGAAAATTTTCTGTAAGGTTAAGCTAACACGGGTTTGATATAAAAAGAAATATGCAGATTGCTTAACCTTGCAGCCGTCACCACGTTGGTCAATCGTATGGATACGTTAGAGTCGAGCCTAGAGAAAATGCTTTTGGAATTTGATCTCTGGAGGGAGAGTATCGCAAAAAACTCTAGCAACTCTAGCCAGACAAGAAACGCTACAGAATATGTATACGACGTCATGGAACATTTGACTATGCAAGTGAAACAATTAAAGAAAAACGTCGATCACGTAAGTTTCCGACGTTTTTGAGAAAATTTGAAGTTCTAGTTGAGACAGATAAAGTGAAGTTGTCTGAAACGCTTACGTTTCTCAGTTGACTACTATGGGCACCTTTAGTCTGCTTCCCAGTCGTTTCGTTCTATTTCGAATTAAAGTTATGCCACTGCTTAACACACTTAGAAGATTGTGACTATAATCGCATGCTACATTCTGCCAGTGCTACGACTTAAACTGCAATTCCTTAGCATCTTATTGGGAAAAATCACTTCCAAAAAATCTTGTAGATCAGTTGTCTTTCTAAGCGTGAAGTAGATTGAACCTTTTCTTTAACATCTTTAGTAACTGGAATATTCTGTACTTCTGTACATTGACTCGTTATTTTCAAATCGGTCATAACATTTTGGTTTGAATAATACTTAAATACTTGGGTGGCCCGTTCTCATTAATTGTGCGGGCTCCAGTATAATCTCTAATTTTTTGCAGACTTGCTGGTTTAGCCATTGTGGTTCCTTGGAATCCCGAGTTTAGTCCGGACAAAGTTTGCTCTAGGTCTTCACCGCCACAGATAGTCACAGCCCTTGTAGATCAGAGCGAGATTTTTCACCATTCGACTAGTTTAACACCAGGACAGTGGTCGATCCTGGAATTGATTTACTCTTACCTAGGCTTCCAGCAAGTCTGCAAAAAAGCCGGTTTCCTTCTCAGCTTGGAGACCCTGCCGAGGGGACGAATCCTGCCGCTGTACATCGCAGCTTGACACCCAAGAACATCTCCTATCCACAATGAGCTGGTAAACCATTAGGAGTGGTTTGAATAATTTGACATGTTATCCCCAAGCATTTTGATGTCTATAGCGATTCCCTGGTTTTCTTTCATCTAATGGCAGCGGCAGCAACCCTGTTTATTCTATGCTTGAAAAACTTTTCAGGAAGCTTTACGGTAAGAAATGAGGTCGTTTTCTTAACGGTTCTATCCGTTCTGTAAGTGGCATGTTAATGAGGAGATTTCAGTCCGTTTTCTAATGGCAAAAAAGCGTATGACAAATGCCAATCTGCAAGAGCTGACCGAATGAGCGACGAGCGCCCAATTTCAGGCGTCCGGAGTGGCGGAAGACATGACGCGACGTATGACGACGGTGGAGTCGCGCTGTCTTGCTGTGTGTCGTCAACCGGTCGACCGAGGCAGCGACAAGCAGCGCCGGCGCCAGGCCGTTTCCGCCCTTGACGGCACCGACGACGTGATCATCTTTCGGAGGAACTGACTGCCTCTTCAGCTCACTTACTGGTCATGCCGATATCTCATGAAGCATGAGCGAGTTTTTTGTCTAGTGCAGGCTACGGTAGTCAAAAGCATTGCGCAAAAGGGATTTGGGAGTCGCCGATGTAACTGAGTGAGTTCTATGAGATGTACTTTTGGTGTGGGTGATGTATAGTGTCAGTTTCACGAAAATCCATGGCAAAAAAGTATTCCGGCTAGTAGGGAGACTACTTACCCTACTAAAAGCTTCCTATTTTTGCTAAACTTCATTATCTGTCACCTCCCTCCACTATGACCAATACGTTTCATCTGCAGGTGAATCCATTTATCATATTGTTTCTTTAGCCAGATATGGGAGCTTAAAGGCAAATCTTTTCTTTAATAAGTTGGCAATTAAAGTTGCTACGCGAAAGCAGGTAGAGTGAAATCGCTGTATAAAGGACACGTCATCAGTGTTTGCAATGTCCTAAGCTGCGACGTCGGAAGGAACACTTCACCTTTACCCAGAATGGCTCAAAGCTTATCCGAAACCGGTTGAACTTTCTGATTCCAGAAGAAATTTTCTATTTTTCTTATTTTCGACTTTTCTGGTTTCAAGCAGGTCGGATCGTTTCGGCAACTACGTTCTGTTATAATGACAATGTGAATATGTGTTTTATGAAAGCCCTTATGGTGTTGTCGAAGTTCCATAAATCCTCGCTTGTCTGCCCCGTCCTTCCCTTTATCTGTATTCTTTTCTGATATTCTGAGATGGCCGTTTGACCACTGTAATGGTTGTTGAACCGGTTCAACGTCCTCTAATGCCGTTATCTTGTTCTTCGATTAGTGAATAAAACAAATTTATACAGAATATTAACATTTGCTTTTTATGAACTGTTTTCTTCCTATAAATTTTACACTTTTATGAACGAGAACTGAACAAGTCATTGTATTTTGTCGTATGAGTTCATGCTTGTTGTAGAAATCTTCCTAAACCTTGTAGTTTTCCAGTCAACAGCTTTTTGCCCTCAATAAAGGTCAGATTGAAAATTTTGAGATGGCTAGCAAATGTGAAAAAATGCCAATGCAAATTTAACACATCCGACGACGTGAGCTTTGTTGGAGTCATAGAGGACGCGAAAGTGTTGTCCGCTTTCAGCTTCAAATTTCAGCTGGCGGTGAATTTAATTAATTTGAATAGAAGCTATAGGAATCAAAAATATTTATCTGCAGGATAGAAGTTCTGCTGCTTTACCGCGCTGAATTTCTGATTTTGTGGAACTCGTGACAAATGCTTCTTCCTTTTTGTGTCGAAGCGCATATTTCAAACACGAAAGCAAATGAACCATTGGGACCACCAATATGTCGTTTATATTTACAGCCGCCGCTCAGTCGTTGAAATTTTTAAAAGCTCTTCGTTAAATTTCGTTATCAAATTTTCGAATCTAGTTCTACATGTTATATATATATATATATCTATATATATATAGGTATGTACATGCATATATATGTATATATGTACAAATATATATATATGTATATGCTTGAATGGCCCGTCTTCAATAGTTGTGGGGGCTCCAGCAAAACTTCCATTTTTTAGAGTTTTGGTGATTTAGTTACTGCACTTCCCTAGAGTCCCGAGGTCAGCCTAGCCAAAGTCTGCTCCAGGTCGTCACCACCACAAGAAGTCGTCGCTCTTGTGTATCAGAGGGAAATTTGCCACCATGCGACTAGTTTGATACCAGGGCGGTGCTGGATCCAGGTATTGGTTTACTCTTAGCTGGGTTCCCAAATGAAAACGCCGGACTCTTTCTCATCTGCTTGGTAGACCCTGCTAGGGGATGAGTCCCCCGCTGTACATCGCAGCCCGACACACAGGAACACCTCCTAGCCACGATGAAGCGGTAAACCATTGGGAAGATATATGCGGTTAGTCGTATGTATGCCGTTAGTATGACAGAATAAAGTAGCTTCTCTAAATATGTAGAGTTCCGAACTTCTTAAATTCTCCAGTAGTCAGAAGATTGCCGTCAGTTGTCGAAAAATTATTTTCGTTGCGAAATAATGAAATTTACTTGTTTTAAGTTTTATTCCAATATTTTGCATTCCATTGATCACCGATGTGTAGTAAATAAATCATAAGCAGTTTTCGTCTTCTAAAGATGATATTCAGTAATAAACGCAAGATCTCTCGTTGCAACTTGCTCCTGGCAGACCAAGCAAGCCACCCATTCTTTCGAGGTCGAAAAATTGGTGCTCAACTTGTCTGGAAACTGTTTCCTTCAATCTACAAGGGCAGGCTACTATTTTATGAGGGATATACTTTTAAAGCTTTTCTACAACTATATCCCAGAATTCCAGTAGAGTGCACTAAAGCAGCACTTGACGACATTTATGAAGGAGACAAAATGCTAAAGCGGCAACGGTATCCACATGCAAATCTGAAGACATCAGTGGATGACAAATGAAGGGACACGAGTCCAACCAGAGAGGTGTTGTGATTCGCACAATGTGGAAAATAAATATCGTGCCATATAAACAAACAAATAACGACAATTATGACCTACAATGGAAGGTGCAAAACATAGCAAATCGCACAGAATGACCATTGCTGAACAGCTGTTCTTTCTTAGAATCACGTCAACGCAAAGGGTTTCACCATGATTTTATGAACTTTTCTGTCCGAATCCTAATCCATTTCCCGCAGAAAACTCGTTCCCAAAGATGTGAACTTTACGTGGAAAATAAATTAACTAAAATATAAGACAAAAATAATTGGTTTACGAGGTCCCAAGCAACGACGATATTTTTATGCCGCTGTTACGAATTCGTCGTTGAATTTTATGTGAATTCGACGTGTACAACGCCTATCTTGGGATCAGCTCACAAACAGAATTTTCTACTGGTTGACAGGCTACTGTGCTAGAAGTTAGTTGATCGATCTCATAAGGAGAATTGAACAGAAATGCATACACTAGTGCTTTCTGAGATCATTTTAATCGGTCTCATGAATGGCGCATAGCGGGTGGTTACATCACAGAGCGCGGCTGCAATAAATCTAGTGTTTGCCACTACAAGTTCATATGATTCGAACGGAAGACTTTGAAACGTTGTAAGTCGATCATATGAATGATAAAAGGAGAAAAGATAAAGCATTCGGCGTTTGTCAATCTCTGAAAGATGCGTAGTGCAATCGACCTCATGTAGAAGTGACTGCATGCATTCTAGCCTATACACTGGCTTTCAGTGACCGACCGATGTATCCAGTCAATGCTACTTATCCACCCAGAGAAATTTGGTCCTCATTAGCAGAACTCCGGCAGGATGAAACACGCTGTATTTCGTGAGAGAGAACGAACGAACAAACCTGTGGTACAACCCCAAGGATGCTGAGATATGAGCAAAACTCGGAACCTTAGGTACTCTTCGAACCCGCTATTATCCTTTCCGGGATCTCATGTGTTATCCACTGTACCAACCGAGGCCCTTGCTTTGCATTTGTCTCAGCCAGTTTTCAGTCTTTAGCCAACCCCGTGTACATTCCAAGGGTCCTCCAACCAATTACACACATCCCACAAAAATCATACGAATAACTCTTAATGGACTTGTTCTTTCCAGTGCGCATCTCAGAGACGCTATTTGCTTTCCAGAAAATATAGAGATAGAGAACAAAGCAACTTGTCGATGGAAGTAGGCATCATTATTTCCCTGCTTCATCAAGAAACACCTTTTATTGGTTATAAAATGCATGTGAGCCTACTGTTTCTTCTTTGATTCGGCTTTCATATCTCTGCCAAATCTTTTTAATGGAAAACTTAAACAGTATTTGCGAAACTGAAAAAAATCGTGGTCATTGACCGAAAAGAAGGTAGATAGCTAGGGTTGTTCTTGGTGGAGCAATATAAAGCTGAGACTGCATAAAAAATTTAACGCCAATAGAGACACTCCTTTGTGGTGAACTTTTCCTGATCCAACCGTAACGATGCTGAGATATTTCCAAAACTCCTGACCGCAGGTGTCTGCGGTGGGGAACGAACGCTCTATTACCCTTTCCGGGGACTATCGCGTTCACCACTACACTGTACGGGTCCTTCGTTTCGCCTCCCTCTCAGCTGTTTTCTAAATCCGTTCAAAATAGAAATATGCTTAGAATGAGACGAATGCTACATAATCTCAGTGAATGGCAGTTCTTTCACTTTAAACCAGCCAAATTTCATAGGAAGGAGCATCTGTACTTCTCGCTTGCATATACGTAACAGATAACTAACAACTGAAGAGATTTGTGTTTTCAGACTCTTACAGTTCCCATTCCAGGTTTGAGTACTATTCAATCGTGTGAAAATATCTAAATATACGAAAACAACTTACGTTTGTCTGATGAAATTAGCCTCACAGATGAAGCTGTTGTTAAGACCTTAGAATAAAAGGTAAAAGATTCTACTGCGAAAAAACTCGGATGAGGCTTTCATTTGAGGAAAAAACTCGATCATTCTGGATTGCATGTTGGTAGACGCTTTCAGTGATTGACAGAGCTAAGTTCGACAATTCAATTACCAATGAGCATTAAGTTACTAATCGGCAACTGAAACGGAGTGAACCCAGTCATAAAACCATTTCAGCAGAGAAAATCAGAGTTGGTTTGAATTGAGTGGTTAAGCGGGACGCTGACGAAACTCAGGAAGTAAAGAACGAATCAAGAGAGGCCAAGTAGTAAAGACTGCATCTGTACCTACGATGATGTAATGGACAAAATTCTAAGACTTATGTGAAGACACTGGCCAATGCATTCGAAAATTCCGTGAAATGTTCGCGTATTGAAAAAATTTCAGACTTCAGAAAGAAAATTGATACAATTTGGTATTCGGTGCTTGAAAGATACCCGGAAAAACACTTTGAAAATTTCCAAGACCGATTTTCTGTTAACCACGGCATTAATATCAATTAATTAAATGTTTTCTTCAATAAGCAGACACGTGGTTGTTAATATAGAATTTATTAGAATACAATAGCTGACGTTTCGCCTTCTTCAGAGCCTGGGAAGATCAACTTGAGATGTGATCTACTCAGCCAAACACTTTCGTAACCTTAGCAGATAAAACTTAACAAATAAATTTGTATTCGCATAAGAAACAGCTTCATTTAAACACCTACCGTTTATTTGTTGCAAGTATTTAAGTCAGTTGGTGGATAGCAGCCGCATAGAGTAATACATGGGCGAGGACTGTGTCTGCGTCAGGTCATTGGATTAGCCTGAGGTATGGTGCCAGGTCACGTGTGATGACAAGACACCCCTCCTTGTAGTTCATTTTTGAATTTTTGGCATTGATCCAAAACGCTTCAAGAGTTTTACGCGCTGATGTTTTCCATTCCTGCGTAGGGATAGTGACTCCTACCTCAAAATCTTCTCCGTTGTGTTCCTGCATCCTATGCGCGCCTAGTGGAGTATTTTGCTTTAATTTAGATTTGCCGACTAAGTGCTCTTTTATGCGGACGCAAAGCGGTCTGCCCGTTTCTCCAACATATTCGTTCCCGCACGCTTTACAAAGATCAGACAGACTGTACCCGAACTCATGCAATCACCGTCTCCGTCACGCGTGACCTGGCGCCATACCTCAGACTAATCCAATGACCTGACACAGACACAGTTATCGCCCATGTATTACTCTGTGCGGCGGCTGTCCATCAACTAACTTAAATACTTACAACAAATAAACGGTAGGTGTTTGAATGAAGCTGTTTCTTATGCGAATGCAAATCGATTTGTCAAGTTTTATCTGCTGGGTTTATGAAAGTGTTTGGCTGAGTAGATCACATCTCAATTCGGCCTTTCCAGGCTCTGAAGAAGGCGAAACGTCAGCTATTGTATTCGAATAAATTCTATATTAACAACCACGTGTCTGATTATTGAAGAAAACTTTGAAAATTCTCAAAAAAAGTCTGAATGACTCGAAAAACTTTAGTGGCGAGTTCAAGTGCAAAAGAAATCCCATGAACTCTCGTTGATGGGCGATTCACTTGCATTTGCGTCTAAAATTTACTCTAACTCTTTGAAATCGGCTCTCTCGCCATTCTCTTTTTCGAATTGAATCCTATAGTGGATATTCAGCGACCGAATCCAAGCCTAAAATAGTGATCAGACTATTACAGAGAAGATACCACCAGTTCAATAAAAGTGCAGAATCGTAAAACGAACTTGTTCGTTGCCGAATTTCACCTTGTACACACCTTCCCCGAGGGTTTTGATTCGCAAGTAGTCGACAGTTGGCATTCCAGGATAGTCAAAGTCCGGGAACCAGTCTAAAAAAGTTTGAATGCACAGGAAAACTTCGATCCAACAAGAGTTACATGCTGCGTTCGATTTCGCACTTCAGTTAACATGTAAATCATTCAATTACCTACGGAGTTCACTGTTAAAATCAGAGCAGGTTTTTCTGCCACAAAAGAAGACACTTTGTTAACGTGACTAAAGAACTTTTGTCCTAACGTTTCTTTTTGACTGTAGTCGGCCGTTTGTCAAAGATTTGGGAAATTTTTCAACTGCGGTAATAATCATATCAGCCATAGCACAAAAGACCCGCGCCAATAAGAACGATGCACAATAGCTGCAGTAAAGAAATAACTACGTACGTGTGTTGCAATGAAACGTAGTGCGGCTAATGAAGATAAAACACACCGTTAAGCTTATCTATAGCGTGGTCGACCGCAGTTAAATCCGCACTGTACCAAATGCCCATACCGTATGTTCGATCGCAGAATCTGAAACAAATCAGCAATTCATGGCTGGAAACGTGACCGCCCGGAAAAATTCCACAGACAGTATCTCGAACCACTTTTGAACCTTTTGGTGAACATTGACGCGTATGAACAGTAAGGTGACTGTTCTCTATGATGTAGATAACTTTCTACATTCTTTGATACTATCATACGTCTCTAGGGCGCGTGTGGCACGGTGGTCGGAGGAGCCCTGCAACACCTCCTGGATCGGCAAATCGGCTCGATACAACGGTAGGCCACCACAAGTCATTGTAAAGGCCAGATATACATTCAATCACCACCAAACAATGCTTAATGAAGTAGAATGCATAGCGCATGCATCAGGGATTGATCGACGCCGAGAGCTTTATCCTATCCTTTATCCCTTTGTTATACGTCTCTTATGTTTTTTGTACAATGTTCCACTCTGGCTAACGTCATCTGGATGTCGTAAGTTCTCTACGATCACTATGCATCGATTTCGTAATATACTTACACTGCACCACCCGTGCAAAGAATGAGATGAGAACAAACCATACATCTGTGTGGTAAAGGTCCACCATTGATTTATGACCCATACCAATATATTGTCTTGCTTCCACAAGACCATGTTCTTCGTAACCGACATTGCACTATACCCTTTTCCTCATTTTACTTAACCACCCCTGGTTGTATTTCGCTTAGTAACCTGCCATGAAAATTATAGAAGGCAGAAAACAAAACGTTAAACATTGTGATTTCAACTACAGCCATAGCTTAACTGGGTTCTATGCCGATTTGCGCTCCCCAGATCAACCTCGCTGATGGGTGATTGCTGTGGCAAAAAGATCGATAGAAATAGCTGAGAGGCAGGCGAAACAAAGGACCCGCATGGTGTGGTGGTGAACGCGTTACTCCCCGGAAAGGACAATAGCGCGTTCGTTCCCCATCATAGACACCTGCGGTCCAGAGTTTTGCAAATATCTCAGCAACGTTGTGGTTGTTATCAGGTTTGTTTGGGAAGACAAGCAAACTGATTCGATTCATCGTTAAATCCCGGAGAATTGTTGACACCTTATTTTAAGACTGATCAACACCGAATGCATTATTCATCATGACACATCGTTTTCGTCAATTAGTTGACATTTGTCTATGTTAACAATGTTTTAAGAATCCATACTGCCGCCGAATATTCGTATTTTTCTGCAGTGTGACACTAAGGAAGTCAACATTATTCAGTCATAAAAAGTATAGCAATATGACTCCCATTCCCGTAGATGGTCTTAGAACGAATGAATGTTACCGCCCAACACAATTATTTTAACAAAATCTGCGATTAATACTGCGGCAATTCATATCGGCCGAGTTCTAGAAGTTCTAGAACATGATGGATCTTACCTGAAATAGAACGCTGAAGAATTTCATAAAAGAACGATGTCAAAATACCTGTTGATAATTATATAGGTCGGCTCGTGGTCGGAGACAACGAAGGTGACGATCTTCATCTTTCCCGCTGGGATGACAGCACAGCTGAGCTCGTCGAGATTGGGTGCATTCTTATCTGGGGTCCAATAGAGGTCTTGAGGAATCGGATCGAGTGGGATACTCAGGCGATCGCTGAATTGGTTCCTTGATGATAGCAGTAATACACAAATCGAGTGAAGCTATGATGCAACGATGATTGCTAGAATTCAATAAACACGTTACGGTACGTTGATTGGTTACGATACCGACAATGGTCTTTTGAACTTGAAAACAAAATTCATTCCTACGGATTAAGAAACTAGCGCACCGACACATTCCATCACCATTAGAATCGACAAGTTTGCCTCCCCAGTATGTGGGAATGTTTTCGGCCTTAGCATACTGTAAATACCAAGAGATTACCAAATATTTAATTGTATATGCAATGAATGTCTTTATTGTTCAAGAAGTTTATCTCATGAAGTACGAGGTCATCAGAAATGGCCTTCGTCTGAAACAAAAAATGAGTGATGGTCAACGCATGCAATTGCAGAGCTCGTCCGCTGGGGACGAAAGAGGTTGGATACCCTTAATTAGCTAGCTCTCAGCCTCGGTAAGCCATCCAAAGGATAGATTCCAACAAAGTTCTGGGTTGGTAACTACTAGCGTTTATTTATTTATCTACTTACTTTGTTTATTACTGCATAACCAGACATCACATGCATCACATTTTGGGAATCACAGTACATCTCGCACTCGAATGGTTTTCTCTTATCCACTATCCATAAAAGTCCCGGGATTTTTTAATGTAGCCACCGCTGCTGGCCGAAGATTTCTTCGTCTTTGTCAGGAGTGTCACTGAATGCTGGTCGACGCGATCCTCTCTGGAATCCTGAGATAGCTGAGCTAGAACGTTCTCCCATGAACGAAAAGAAGTCAGCTTGTCCAGATAGGTCTGGTACCAATCTTCTGATACCAGGTTGCCAGTCCGCGCTATGAACAGGATAAGTACTGTGCTATTTGCCATTCGCAATAGTGCGTACAAACAGTTTTTTTTCATTTTTTTACATGACCTGTTATCACATTTGCTGCTGATCTCAGCACTACCTGCATTCGATCTATTTTCCCTGCATTCAACGGCCACACAGGTCTTCGAACACTTCGCTCATTGTTTCGGTTGCTTCTTGAGGTTCTCGCCTTTTTTACGGATGACGTAGAATGCTGGTCGAATCAGCTTTTCTTACAATCTTGGAAATAACCAAGATAACGCATTTCCACGTAGATTGCAGGAAAGCACTGAGAGTGAGGCGAACTAGCTCCTTGACTTGTGATGGACTGCACCACTAGCCACTGCGTTACCTCGCTCTTCACTGTGGGCTGGAAAATCTGAGGTATGAAAATCAAGTGTACATTGACTTCCACAGCATTCGTGATTTCGTCGAAACCTAAGCTTGCGTAGTAAAAGTTTTTTCAAACGTGATATGGGAACAGTCTCTTTCAAGTCACCGAAACTGCTCCCTCGTTGATTGAAAAGGTTACGTCATCAAAGACAAAACTTAGTCGGCAATTTCTAACAAACACCACTTGGACTAACTGGTTCTGGGAAAAACTGGACTTGAACTCTTTCCTGTTTAATTTGCGTCCTATTATAAAACAGGTCAAAGCATAGTAAGAGATAAAGAACAGTTGTGAGCTGAAAAAAACAAAGCGAACAAAATCACCTTTTGTACCAAACTTTTCCAATCACTGTTAGTTCTGCAGATTTTCACTTTACTTCGAGTTCTTTCCGGAATTAATGGAGCAATCGTCTGTAAAAAATAGATGGAATATGGGAATCACTCTAAGAATCTAATCAGAATGGAAAAAACAATCATTGGTGGAGCTTGTATAATGCTGAGATATTTGCAAAACTCCGGACCGCAAGTGTCTGCGGTGGGAAACGAACGCCCTAATACCCTTTCCGGGGGTTAACGCGTTCAGCGCCACACCATACGGGTCCTTCGTTTTGCCTGTTTTTCAGCTAGTTCTATTGATCGGCGCCAGCAGAAATCAAATAAAAGGGTAAAGATTGTGATAACTATAGCATCAGCCTAACTAGGTTCAATGCCGATTTGGGCTCCCCAGATCAATCCCGTTGACGGGTGATTGCTCGTGGCAAAAGATCGATAGAACTAGCTGAGAGAAAGGCGAGACGAAGGACCCACATAGTGTGGCGGTGAACGCGTTACTCCCCGGAAAAAACAACAGAGCGTTCGCTCCCCACCGAAGACACTTGCGGTCCGGAGTTTCGCAAATATCTCAGCATTATATAAGTTATATTTCGCAACATACCATGCCCTTAAGAAATAAGCAGTAAATAAAAAGGTTAAGACTGTAATCATTGGTGTAATTTGAGCTGGGAGAAAATTCCGCCAACAGGAGATTCACCAGTTCTCAATGATTTCAGCTTAATCCAGCAACGAAATTTTTCCTTTGTGAACTACAAAACAGTCTAAAATTGAAATATTTAAAAAATTTTCCGTGAAGCCTATAATGTAAACCAGGAAATTCATTAATACCCATTGAAACTCCCTTCCAAAAGAAAAGGATCGAAACTTTCAGAGAACGGTTTTGACATCAACAAAACTGCTAAATTTTTCAGTGCTTTGCCTAACGAGCAGCAGCTTAGATTTGTGCGGATCATTCTCGACCTTCTTACCTTCCATAAGAGGCTTATAAACGACGGCGCGTTCACAATGAGCATTTGAGAGATCCATTCCGGATAGTTTGTATACACAGAAGCCCATAGAATACGATACGGTCCTAAATGTACAGCCATAGGCAAAAGGATAATAAGTAAGTATATCAGCGAATCCGTTGTTATTTAATTGCCTGAAAAATAGCGCCGGTTTTATTGCTTCATACCTTGAGGTGTTGTTTTTAAATAACGTCTCAACGCTGTGTGCTCATTTGAGACATTAAGCTAAAGGGGACATTTCGCTTCAATTTCTTAGGTTAGGTAGGCTTCTTTTTATCCTAGGCGACATTGTAAATATTAGTAATGTGGCGTGTAAAGTGTAGTGGTTGGAAGTACCCTTGCCTACCACCCCTCTAGTGTTGATAAATTGTTCCCAAACTTGTCTGGGAGGATAGCAGCACTGACTTGACTCGATGCATTGGTAGCTCACCGCAAGCCATTGGGCAGAACAGATATGCATTCAATCAACCCTACGATCTTGATGAATTCGAATACTCTGTGTGTCCTTTAGGTATTGATCAATGCCGAACGCTTTACCATATAAACTTTCAGTAATGATAAAAAGGAAAAATTAGGACAAACTCTTTAAATTCATCCTTAGGCGTAGAGCAGCAGAAAGGGAAACGATTCACAATAACAACATTGCATTAGTCTACGGAAAAGTTAGTAACTGTGCAGTACAATACAGGCTTCAAAAGTCTCATGGGGGAAATGAGAGTACTGTAGGTGAAGCATGTAGGGAACGATTAGTTGTCACTAGCAGGTGATCGACTACCTGGTGGTGGAACTAACTGGAACAGTAACGCGTCCCCCAATAACGCGTACGTGATGGAGTCTTTCGACGTTACCGCACTCTACACCAACGTATCGAATGACTCCGCAATGCAAGCCATCTTCGAACTTCTTGTTGAACATGAAGGAAGAATAAATATGCATGGCTTGTCCATCCAGCAGCTAATGGCTCTCTTAAAGGAGTGCCTAAACTGCTCGATCTTCAGATGGTCTGGGAAATATTTCGCGCAAATAAGGGGGTTGGCAATGGGACAGCGATTGGCACCAAGCCTGGCCATTGTGTTTATGTCTAAGATAGAAGCCCCTGTTCTCGATCTCCGGCCACTACTCTACTGCAGATATGTAGATGATTGTTTTGTCGTCTTCTCTACGCAGGAGGAGATGGACAAATGCTTCGAATTATTAAACGAGCAGTCCGAGTACATAAAGTTCACCCGGGAGAAACCGAGAGAAAACTGGCTTCCGTTTTTGGACGTCCAAATAAACCTATCAAGTAGCGGTTACCTGACAAAGTGGTATCGAAAGCCAAGTAACAAGAACATCCTTGTCCATTTC